CTCTTCCCTGTGCACTAGATAGACCAAAAAAAAATATACTAATGTTGGTCAACGCATCCAAACACAGCATTGCAAGGAATTTTTTTAGGGAAGGAAAAGGTGGCAGCCACCCTACCTCGACTACTTTTAAAATTATTTTTCAGATTTTCAATCCACTAACTGCTTTCTGATGTAGTCCAATGATATGGCTGCAGCCACCATGCGTGTGGCTATCTTATGGAAAGATTCTCCTTGAATTATTTGGCCACTTGGTATATACAGTAGTCCATTTTCTCCCAATATGGAGAACTGCCCAACCTTTGAATACATTTCACTCCTTATGACTTGCCTCTATTATCTTTCTGGAACTTAGATGCTCAGTAATACAGACTATGTTCTCGGTTTAGTCTCCAAGACATGGCGAATTGCAGATGCTGGTTCCTAAAAATCTACTAATGACAAAAGAACAGCTACAAGTCTCTCCCATCAATCTTGTTACTTATTTGTCCCAAACCAGAAGTTCACAAAATTTAGGTTGAGCAACTGGGATTTGTGGAAGTAGCCACATTGGATTCACCGCTGTAGCTGACATCATAGCCACTCCAAAATAAGAATTTGCTTCTCTCATCTTATCTCTCCAATTGTTCATATTTATCCAGCATTCATGTTCACTCCTTTATATCTCCATCACTATAATTTAAGTGTTTGAATTTCTCCAGGATTCATTTCTTTCCTGCTAACATTTCTAATCTCATTGCCTTCCTCTTGATTTGTTTTTGTCCTTTGTTATTTTTGCAACTGAAGTGCTACTGAGCTCCCCTTTAAGAGTATTAACAAGTTGAAAAAAAACTAAGTCTAACTGTAATTACTGTAAGACTTGATCAAGCTAATCTACCAGAACACCACAATGAGACAAGCTCCAACCCAAAGTGTCACAAGAGCCTCCAGGTAACGCCGTACTCTAACAGCAGAATATTATCGACAGAAATGTATTACAGCACCTACATGGTCAGAAGTTACCATGGTAAAGGCTTCTTCTTAGAACCATCTCGCTGCGTCTTATACATAGATCATCGAACCAATAAGGCACTAAACTGCATGCATCCAAGTGCCATGGATTCAGGTCGAGATCTATAGAATAGTGTTTAATTGGAGCTGAGAGACAAGTAGCTTATTGTGGTGCCTATGGCTGCTTCAGACTCTGGGTACTTGCTCTGCTCCCACTGCAAGGATAACTCAGCTGCTTGGGAATCAACATGGCATACTTAGGCAAACTATCCCTGTTTCTACTTTGGATGCAGGCAGCCGTAATGCATGCAGTTCAGCATCTGCTATACACACAATAGGCTTGATTCAGAGCATCGGTGGGGAAGACAGTATGTGGAAGGAATGGGCACAGACAGCCTGTTTGCATTTGGGAAATCAGACCCATGGGATATAACCTGCCCACCCTACAGTGTGCTCTGTATGCACCAGCGGGCAGCTTATTTTTCTTTCGAAATAAACAACTCTTTTACAGCAGCAGCATTGATTTTAATGGCATTTAAGCACCTAAATGCATCTGAAGATCGGGGCCAGAGAGAACTTACAGCTTCTATTCCCTATTGACATAAACGACATAAAGGATAAAATTGTATGTGGCTATATTTGAGTCGGTAGTGGCAGCACAATAAAGATACTGCCTATTAAGGCAGGGAAAACGAGCAATTGAATCCGAGAGGCTTGCACTTGCACAGGATGCATTGATCCAGCATTTGAAGTGCCTCCATTATTAGGCTAAAGCATGGCTTCAAACAGAGTTTCAAACCTGGTACTTAAAAGCAGTTGGGAACAAGAGGATTTTTCTCTTATGTCATGTTTAATAACAGTCAACACTAACAGATACACACACGCAGCAGCGCTGTTATAGCTGAAAAGATGTGTGGTTAAAAACCAAGTCAAACCAGACCCCCCACTGCAGGCTGGCAGAATGCTCCACAGGGCTCCCAATCTCCCAGCTGTGCCAGAGCCAACCATTGCTACATCCAGTCAATCCAACACGACCTGGGACTAAACGCGATGAGAGAAAAAAGCAGAAGTCGATAACAATTCTCAGAAAACATGTCTGCCTGCAGATATGTGCTATCCCTGTGATCCTGGAGTCCAAACAAACACTTCATGTAATAAGAGGGATATGAACCATCCACCACAGTCCCTAAAACAGTAAGGCAGGTACGCTGCTAACAAACCCACACGCTTTAGAAAATCCTGTTAGTTTCGCATCAAGAAACTGTCAGATGTGTTCTGCTGCCTTTATTTCTCGGGTGTGTACATGTGTCCCCTTGGCGCAAAGTTCTCACTGTGGGTTAGTACTAATACTCCACTTGTGCCGTCTGTAAAATGAACTTGGGAGGAGTTCATAAAATGCTTTGGAAATCGGATTGTTCTACTTTAGGACAGAAATTAGTATTTACTTCCAGTTATCTCAGGAAGTCTCTGCCATCTTCCAGTATCCCCCAAAAGTAACACAGCCTCGTACAAGAAACGACGGCCGTGAGAGGCAACTAGTGGGTCACCTATGCTGAAGACGCAGGCCAGCAGGGCAACGTTCAGAACACAAAAAGTGCTTAAACCGGCCTCTTTTTTGAGCCAGTGGCGGTGTCAGCGAATTTTTAACTGAAGAAAGTAGTAAAACCCTTTCCAACGGATGCGTGTCGGGAATTACGGGGCTCCGCACCTACCACCGAGCTCACCCCAAGCCCGCAGTGTCCCCTGCAGAACCGCCACCGCCCG